AAAAACTTCGCACAAAAAGAGTATCTCGAGAGCTGACGTCGTCGTGGTGGGTGAAGTGGTTACGTCAAATAGAAAAAAAAGTGAGCCGTCCTAACCATAAGTAACACTCCATCCATTCTACCATGGTTGGTAAACTTTACCTTATGAGGTTCAGTTTTGAAATCACGGAAAGAAAGGCACAATTCTTAGGATCGTGATTTCATAAGTGTGAGAAAAAGGAAGATATACACAAAAAATTAAGCGGGAACGTGCACTGAAGGATTTGAAGGCTCACATCACGTTGAAATTATGAGATGGAGACGCTAGCTCACGATTCTCCCCACTGGAGAACTCCCCTGTTGATATAAAAAAGGGACCCACAACTGGAGAAAGCGATGCAGCCCTAGTGGCTCTGCCCAAACGCTAAGTGTGGACACTCTCTGAGGATCTTATGCGAACATATGAAGGACAATTGACGACTAAGTGCTTCCCGCGACTTTCCGTCACTGTTCACATGATCCGGGTTGAATCTTGTACTACTTTGGCGCATAGAATGATAGAATTTAGCCTCCGAACTAGTTTCCTTGACATTTTCATGAATTTTATAATGAATTGTGGTCGCGCCTAGATCTGGTGGAAAACCTATAATTTTTGAAATCAGTTCTACTTCTGGATTTTTGATGTTTCCCAATTTATGGCATGTAATTATTGACGTCTACTCTAATCCAAAGCTTGGGACCTACTCGGTTATGGGTAACGGTCCACGAAGAAATTAATCACCCAAAAAACGATAACAATTGTACTCGAATTTTGCCAAAGAACCCTCACCGAAGGGGAGATGGGTTGTACTCAGATTTTTAAGGCGGAGAAAGAGTACAGGGTGACATCAGCAGAGCGGAAGTGGAAATGTGATGCTTCTTTTCCAAGCTGATGAACACTTAGAAATTTAGACTTTTTCCTCAAAATTTTGAGAACTTACGACCCCCTTTCCGCTAGGCGAACTTTCGTAGAGATGAAAGATATGGACTAGGGTAGTTGCTGGAGTCTTAGGATAGATGGGGGAGGGATTGAGAAGGGCTATAAGTTAAAAATCTTATCCATCTACGTGGCTTCTCTTGAAAATATTGCGGAAAACCGTACGGGCCTATCAACACCAACAAAACCACACAACAAAAGTTCTTTTGAGCAGCAGATCGGATCGACTCTGCTGCGTTTTTTAAACAGTTTGCCTTTTCGAGTGGACAGATTGACATGGAAAACACCTCGTGAGGGTTTTAGCAGGATTGTGGCGCTTCTGCATTTTGGGGCCTAATGCTACAATTTCCACAGGAAGAGAATGACGGGAACCCCTTGAATTTCTCCATCTTTTCAACGGAATACTCCTCCAAAAAAGAAACTTCTTCAAACTTTTCAACGCAGATATTACTTAAGACTGTCTCGTCTCTATGTCGTTGAGTACCAAATGAATTTAGAAGATTTTGTGTTCACATACCCGTACGGGAAGGATAGCAATACGGCCCGTTTGTAAGGTGTCCCCTAACTGTGAAACAATTCCTCCAAGCTCGTAGACTTTAGAGCCCGCCTCACGGGCAAAATTGGGGTAGCACGCTATCATCTCGAAGCATATCTTTTTGTGTCACACGAGGTCAAGACCAACATGTGATGAACAGTTGGAATAAGAAGAAATGTAAACAATGTGAAGATATCAGCAAGAGTTGTTTATATAACTTCAAAGAAAGCGCGGGTTCTGGTGGAATAATAGTATACCCCAACCCATGAGTGGACGCTACTTCTCCACAAAAGATGGCTTACGGAAGATCCGTGCAAGCCGCAGGAGGGGGGTGTGGGGGGGGGGCGTTTTGTGGCCGTCCTCAGTTAGGTGAACTGACGTTCGAGAAGGATATGAGGTGGGGTAGATCATGGTCACCGTCCATTAAGGGGACGCATTTCTGATTTCGGGAAGGAGGGGCCACATTCGGTACCAAGCAAGGTTAACTACCTCTGATAGTTGGGGTCGTGAAAAATGGGTGACTTTCGACGGGTTTGGGCGATTTTTGTGAGTTTCAACAAAGCGCTTATGGTAGTTGGCGCTCATCAAACATTCACGCCTCTCCCCTCGCTCCCGCTCTGAGTTTTGAAGTGAAAAATGGTAGAACTTTGAGTGTATCGACTGGTCTCAATAGAGGGGGAGGGGGTTGTACTAGGGGAACCTCCTAAGACTGATAGTGTTGATAGGTCCTCAGGCTGATAGTGCTGGTGGGGGGGGGGGTGTTGAGGCAGAAGTTCTTGGAAGTGTAAGCGCGACGGTTGACCATATTATTCTGCGTGAATCCAATTTTATTCACTAAGAGTGCCTGTCGCAATTACTAGCGGGGGCACACTCTAGGAAATCGGCCCAAGAAAGGGCAAGAAATTGATGGAGCAATGAAATGGCTCACGCACCCTCGCGTTCCCTCGCGCACTGAGGCATTATCTGTTTATCCGTTTTACAAAATTAACATGTTTTACGCGTTCCAAATGCACTGCCATCACAGTGCCCCTGTATCTTGCGATAGCCTAATAAATACAACTGTATAATTGTGCTCACAACAAGTCACTTATCAGTGCTACCTCAAGCGCATTCGCATTAGTAAAGGCCACTCAAACTGCGCATGTGGGAGAAAATTACACTCAGGAAATGCCCGAAGGTGACACAGAATACCGAACATATGGCGAACTTGCTTGATTGATATCTATCTCTCTCCACACACACACACACCGTCGATAAAAAACACCACATTAACGACAACGAAAACAAATGGCACCAGAATAATAGTTAACGCGCGGATCTGCTAGAAAACTATATGTTTGGGGGAAGGCAGTGCGTTCGTCGGGGACGGTCCGAAGTGGAATGCAACATTTACGACCGACATGTTGCCCTTGATATGAACATCGTCGCACTTTAGCACTTTCTGCAGCTCGACAGCACTCAACACAACTCGTATGACAAAGATTGTGAGGCGAGATAACTTGATAGGCTACGCCGAACCATGCTTGCTTCAACTCGTTCTCCCAAATTCCTGGCCCCCAAAGCAATTTGTTGGCTTCATTTTTGATCAATTGCCATGCTTTTTTTTTTTTCCTCCAAACAATTCAGGCCCATTTAATTCGCATGGCTCATTGACCCAATGGATTAAGAAGGCAGTTTGGATGAAATGAAGCGATTCAAAAAGAGCATGAAAAAGCGTAAACAGACATAAATAATAGGCGTAAATTCACAGAGAAGAAAATGTATGGACTTAGAGCAAACGAAAATTCTCCGCGAGCAAATATTACTGCAGTGCATCCTTAGTAAGTAAATAGTTCTAGATCAGGTCTCATTATGGTAGAGGGGTGGTGCAATGTGCCTTGGGGCGGGGCACCTGTAATTGCGTCAGGTTCACGAAAATTTTCAAGTCGTTGGAAACTAAGACTTCGGAGGCAAGGAACGGGAATCCGAAGCATTTTTCAATTCCGCGTGGACGCGTGCCGGAATTCGTCCTTCTTGCGTTAGGCTTAGTTCCTAGGTGACTGGCCGATAGACTGCCCCACCGAGGCACATTGCGCCGAGGGAGCATTGCGGTTTAGAGCGCTCATTGTAGTTGAAACCACGGATAACATATTCTCCCAGTGTAAAGGTTTAGGACTAAGCCGTAGAAGGGAGGCCAAAATCCGGTTAGTGAAGCAATCTTGCCTTTCTCCCTTCCTAGGCTTGTCCTAAGCTGCCGCACTAGGTGAATCCACTTTTCTATAGATGTTATGTCATAAAACAGAACAAATACCTATCAAAAAAAACGAAGAAATAAATGTAAAGATTAAAGCTATACATTCGTTACTTTAAAGCTATTGAGCCAAATTGCATTAGAGCAGACTGTGCGCCCGCATATTCTCGCCGTAAACTGGAACGGATCCTTTTAAGATTTATGTAAAGTAGAAGAAATAATGAACAGAGCAAAAAACGACAGGTTCAAAACGCATGGCGTACACAACCTGAGACCAAGAAATGGTAACAAAAACAGACCTCGACGGTGGTTTCATCGTCATAACGGACCGCTTTACAGCCGTTTCCGACCGTGAACACCCGGGCGATGCTGTCCATGCCGGGTGCATCCGAGCAGTGCGCTCGTCGATCCTCCCAGACGCAAGCGACAGCGACCCCCCGGCTGCTGCTGCTGTCCTGGTCACAACAGGGGGGTCGCTAAGAACGCGGATAAATCTTGGAACGATTCCGTCGACGTGAAATAAAACATTCTATCCGCAAGTGCACGAGAGGCATCCTACCTCACGCTCGAGTCTTGTAGTAGTTCTTTACTTAAGAGGGAAGTAATTTGGTGCTAACTTAGTTGGGGGGGGGGGCACGCGGCGGCGCGGCAGTCTGCTCACCTGGGCTCTCTCGAACGAGACAGTGTAAACTCGAACATTCCAGCTTTTCACGCATGTCAAGTGACTGCCCTCACCCCCCCAGGGTCAACCCTATCGTTGTTACTTTTCGAAAATTTTTTACGACCCCCCTCCCCCAAGGTGGATTTGGTACGACCCCTTCTCGACACCTCGACCACCATATTCCTCTCTATAACACTAACTTCCACTACCACTCAACCCTCAAAACTCCGCCCACTTTTTCCTCCAAAAATGCCGTCGAGCGGGGGGGGTATATAGTCCCTCTGAAACCGTAAAAATTACCTAAATTTCCACCAATTTACCCCCTCCTACCTTTAATCCCACGCTTCATTTTCTAGGGGGGGGTATATACGCGCGCTGAAACGGCAAATTTTCTCCCGCGCCACTCCTCCCTCACCTCATGCAACTTCTCACAATCGAAGCAAGTACGACCCCCCCCTCTACAAACTCATCAAAATATACGACCCCCCCTCTAAAAACTCATCAAAGTACGACCCCCCGTTGCTACTTGTAGCAACGTAGGACCGACCCTGCTTGGGAGCTAGCAAGTCGCCTCAGTAGTGTGCGCCGCACCTGAATGCGCTCTGAAACGGCGATGGCATTTTGAAGCCGATATCAGATTTTCCTTCCCTGGGCTACACCTCCCGCGGCCCGAATACACCCCTCCCCGCTGGTACTTGTACAAACATACGCTGAACGTGCAGGAACAGCGATCGGTATTGCATTCACGAACCTGGAACCTACAACTAGAACTAGAACTTGGTCGAATCATGCACTTACTGGCAAGTCAAACTCATCGCGTCCTATTCACATGGCATTTCCTGATGTATTGAGACCAAATCCGTAACCCACTTGGTGTGCTAGCGTTTGGATTATCCTCTTTCAAGCCTCTAGGGTTGACCCTGCCCCCCCCCTAGACTGGCTACACTCCCCCTGGCCTCACGGATTTCCGAAGATGCCAGGTGAGCAGACTGCCGCGCCGCCGCGTGCCCCCCCCCAACTAAGTTAGCACCAAAATAATTTGTTCAGCGTCCTCGTCCCTACTCTACAGCTGCTCCGTCAAAAGTTGCAAGAAAAACCCATTATCACCTTTAAGGCCGGCAACACAGCTTCAACTCGTGATACCAGCCTCATGCGCGGGAGTTTGGGCGAATGAAAATAATCGTGGGTCTCTGGGTTAAAATGTATTGCCCAAAATTCCCAGCCCTAACTCATTCCAATTAGGATAGATAAGGTAAACAGTGACAATTATGAGTTGATTCATGCGAAACTTGGAAAAAACACACGGTAGACCATTGAGAATGCGACAAATTAAGAATCAGTGTCGCAACTTTCGCATACGCATACAGAAGGCCTACGGACTATCGGAGTATTCGAGACTACTGGATCGGAGTATCGCCCAAGGCTACGTTCTCTCGCCCAAACGCCAGTTCGCGACTACTGCGGGCTTGAGTACTTTAACCACATGTTAAGTGCCTCACCCACCTCTGCAGTCCACTCCTTTTCTGGTACCTAAGGTTAAGCTTTTATTCCACCAATTTGGCATCAAAGAGACAGTTGCACTTTTCGAAGACCTTCTAATGCGTACATATTGCTATGGTGGTACCAATTAAAACCGACCAAACGCGAGCATACTGGACTTCCAAATAGCAAAAACCTAACTTTAAGTCTGACACTCTAGCATCAAGTTGGAATACTCAAACAGATTAAAGAAGTAGTGACACTTCACTTCTTTTTGAGAACGATGACTTTCTCAGAAATAAAACATTAAATTCACCCTATGAGTACCCTCATACAAAAAGGACTACTATGACAATCTGACTCCAGCTGTGGTTACCTACCCGGTTGAAGCGCTTGGAGCACTACCTCTCCTGTTTTTCTAGAATGTTCAGAATGCTGTATTTGTAGTATTTCTCAGCTCAGCAGACCTGAAGCGCTTAAAGATATCACCGTTAAACTCTGGCGAAAAAGAACGCTGTGTCTCACACTAAGAAGGTCTTACCAAGCCCAACAACATTTCACCACAAGCAATTTCCTTATCGCTACACAGTGGGATGGAACCATGATGAACCGTATCGCTGGCAGCAAATGAACTTGCGTTTTTTGGCACAAAAATCGATGAACAATAAAGCTGAGCAATACATACAATTCCTTTCTCGGTTATTCTTTGGGTATTGATTTTAGATACTACTATTACGGAAGAAGCAATCATCGCTACAAAATATAAGAGATGTAGTAAACCGTGACAATTTGTAGAACTTAGCCACCGTCGTGATACTCAAACGGTAAATTTGGGCCCACTGATTTTTTAGACAGTTGCTTGGAATTAACACTGTGCTTGAGACTGATACAACAACACTAAACATGCCGGAAATACCTCCTCAAGCAGCTGAAGACCCATTCAACGCTTTTCTTTGTATCATCCCTTTCCCAAATAAATCGCCAAGTTATTTGCCGGCGGCTTCATTTCCGAGCGGATCGTGCGTAGTGCCTTCGAGCTACGGATCCTTCCACATATTTGGCCATGAGCTTGTGATACCAGTCAGATTTGCCTCATTACATTATATTTAGTCATGCAATGAGTACCACAATAATGTTCAAAATACGAACATGCTCATCTTCCTCGTTCTTGTGCACTTGCGGACAATGTTTTATTTCACGTCGACGGAATCGTTCCAAGATTTATCCGCGTTCGGCGTAATCATCGTTTGAACTCGCGCTCGCCCTGAATCAGGCTCGTCAAAGACCAGCGATCGATGCAATGCGGCCAATTCTCGTCCTCGCGCATTTTCTGCAGGGCGGCCGTCCTTTTTGTGGTCCTACTTTTATCGATCGCCGTGATCTCCATTTTACTGCATAAGCCAAAGTAGAAGTCGTCATCTGTATCTTTAATTCTGCCACTTTTTTGAGTTCCATTTCCCCTCTACATTGTTTTATTTGGCAATGAAAAGTCATGCTATGGGATGTTTTGTAGGTCTAAAAAGTTTAGCTTTTTCTGGGCGCAATGTGGCTCCGGGTGCAGCCTCAAAATGCCGTCGTGTTGAGGATACGACTCAAGTGTATAAGGCTAAGCCTGTAGATCGAGAAGAAGGCCGCGAGCGCGGCGTAACGCCAATCTCATGTCTCTGGAATTGTCCCTCCCCCTCCTTGCTACAGACTTCGCCCTCTCCGAGGCACAAGCCGTGCCCTTTGGGAATTGGTATTCCTCTTTTACCTTGAGATTATGTTATAACTTCCCGATTTCGATTCCTATCTCAAAAACTATATATCGACCGTGACCAAATCCTAGCCTGATCTGACGCATACACCCGCAGTGAATTTTGTATGTAGCATGTCGCGGCACCGACAATTCGCGCTATTACTCATTAGGCGCCATTGAAATGAGGTTAGTTACTTTCCTCTAGGTCAGGTTTTAAAGCATTGCCACGACTATGAGGCCTCTGAGGTTAGGCTTTGCGCAAAAGCGATCATCTCTGATCAGAGTCTGACTAAACTGACTTGAGGAGAAGTGAAGTACACCCCGAAACCAATCAGGGGTCAGAATATAGGCGTCAACCTTGTTGCTTTTCGCCTAAATGGTGTGTGGCGGAACGTAATATCGTACAATAATAGTCACAAAGTTGCTTGTTGCAGAGTTTCTGCAATAAGAAAGCTTCTAGGTATTGACATGGTGTATTCAATGTTGCATACACTTCAGTTGTCGAAGATTACACTTTGAAGTGTTCCTTTCAAAATTTTGCCCTAATAGTAAAAAACACAGTCGGAAAATTGATCGAGGCTCCTGTGCTTTCATCTTGAACAGGTTTCTCAGGATACCACTTGTGAATTTGTATTTTAATTTGATTGTTGATTTGATTTCTCTCTGGCAGCTTATTGGATTTTCGGTGGTTCCAGCGTGCATAAGGCTTGAACGGTTTTGTCGGATGTCTGTTTAGGTCTCATCATCACTGGTTCCAGTCATACTCGAGGGCATTTTTGTCGTTATCAGCCCAATTTTCTTCTTTTTTTATAGATTCCAAATATCGACCATGGCTACTTGGAAGCCCTTATCCGTGGATTCAAAACAGGACTTCTTTCACAAAGTGACTACGCAAACCTCGTCCAATGTGAAACTCTAGAAGGTTTGCTCATTATATTTTGTGCCCGACATTTTCATCGAATTTTCTTCACCTTTTTCATCATGTACAATTGATGTTTACTATTCATTTGTGTGTTTGCTTTATGCTGAAGTTATTTTTTGATTTCAGACCTGAAGTTACATATACAGTCTACTGATTACGGCAACTTCCTTGCAAATGAACCTGGATCGATCACTGTTGGTTTTCTTTCGTTAACTCTTTATAACCAAACCTGCAATGCTGCATGTACAGGTGCAAGTGATTGACGAACGACTGAAGGAGAAACTTGTTACCGAGTTCACTCACTTGAGAAACAACGCTCTCGAGCCTCTTGCAACGTTCTTGGATTATATCACGTGAGTGGAATTGAAACAATTGTTCATTGAAAGGCGTAAAAATTTCTCAGCTCATTTACATGTTTCTTTTCTCTTGATTAGCTATCCAAGAAATTGTTCAGATACTCGTACATGATTGATAACATTATTCTTCTCATCACTGGTACCCTTCATCAACGTCCTATTTCCGAGCTCATCAGCAAGTGTCACCCTCTTGGTTAGTTTTTTTTTCATATGGTGTGTTTTCAAATTACGATGGCCTTCGCGCTTAGAGCTGGTACACTTTCTGGCTTTAGAAGTTCTGTTGTTTTGAAGACAAAAGGTTCCTTTTTTGGAATTGTGACTGTCCTTATACTTAATCGGATTTGAAAAACCGAGTACTCGTTCAATAATGCTGAAATTATCGAAGGGATAATCTGTGGAGAAGGAAATTTAAAAACCGAGATAGTCGCGTGATGGCGTCGGTGTGTTAAATACCTGAATGCATAGTAGTTATGGGAAGATTTGAATTGACTATAAAGCGCTACCATTCAAATGCGCTTAAACGTTACATTCGGTAGTTGCAACACAGCAGCTGTTTTATTCACTCCCGCCTGGGGCCAAAGTTTTGCTCATAACTCAACGTTTTTGGAGTAAGTTGTCATTAACTCTCGAACCTAGACATGAGGTTTTCTGTTGTGTTGGCATTACCTTATTAATAGGCTTTAGAATATAAAGAGCATGTTCCATAGCATATATGATGATGTGAGATGAGAATCAGTTTTTAGGGTCTTTCGAACAGATGGAAGCCATTCATATAGCTTCAACTCCTGCTGAACTGTACAACGCCGTCCTTGTCGACACTCCTCTTGGTTGGTTAAGGTTGCAAGTTTTCGATTGCCTGGGGACAACTGGCGTTTTTGCTTTCTTGAATCGGAGGTTTTAGTCCAAATCCCTTTACGTATTTTTTTACTGAGCTAAAGAAAAATATTCCGTTAACTCATGAGGGCAAAGCATTAGGAGTTGAACAATTTCTTTTTGCGATGGGCCACACATTAAAACTGTTGTGGGGAACAGTCAACGTGCATGTCAATGTTTATAGTTCTCCTAAGGTCGACGGACTACTTGGATTCGGTCCTTGGGTCGGTGTTCACAATCCGATGCTCTCGTCTGCGCTCTCTCGCCTTATCAGCGGCTGATGACCACTGTTGATCTCATACATTTAAACTTTTGCCACACTGTAATTAGCTCACCCACTATGGAGCTCCTCCATTTTCAAGGCTTATGGTTAGTTCCACGGCTCTCACTTCGTCCTTGGGATTTTTAGCCGACTCAGGCTAATTGTCTGCGCTCTCCGCCATTCGTGGAAGGAACGCCACCGAAAGTCACCGTTTTCTTCGCTATTAGTCTTCTATCATAGTTTTCACTTCTCCTCGTGAGTGCAAAATTGTTTGCTTGGTTTGAAATACGTGAAAATATCCGGACTTGAAGTCGTGCAAATTATTTGATCTTCCTGTGGTTGTGCGCTTCCCTCATGATCCCTGTGCTATCTTTCTCACCTTCTTACAAATGCCCACCTTCAGTTCCTAATCCGCGTCTACTCGAAATTATAAGTGACACGGACTCCACTTTTTACCCTCATCATCTCTAGTCAGAATTGTAGCAGCAGAATTGGGCAAAAGTCTGCTGAGAAAGTATAGCGCAATTTATTGCAAGTCCTCAATGCAAAACTACTGAATATTGAGCAAGAATTGCTCTAATACACATATTTTTGTGGGTATAACGTTCCCATTTCGATTATTCTTTTTTGATTGCTTTTCACAAGCCTCAATTGAAGTGTTTTTATACGGCGGCGGCTTTCAGCTAACTACTTTGTTGACTGCATTAACGAGCAAGATCTGGACGAGATGAACGTGGAACTGATCAGAAATACTTTATACAAAGCATATATCGAGGACTTTTATAAATTCTGCAAACAATTGGGAGGTACTACTGCTGAAGTTATGTGTGAAATTCTTGCTGTAAGTCCAACATATCTCTTTTCTTCTTGTGAGCTTTTCATTGGTGGCTCTACTTTTCTCTACAGATAACAATATTTTCAGTTTGAAGCGGATCGCAGATCCATTATTATCACGATCAACTCCTTTGACACAGAATTGAGCAAAGATGATCGTGAGAAACTATACCCCAGATGCGGCAAATTGTACCCAGAAGGTAAGCTCATCAATTGTTTTCTTTTATCACTAGTAAAAAATATTACGTTCTAGGGCTTTCTGGTCTTGCTCGAGCCGATGACTATGATCAGGTGAAGCAAGTATGCGAATATTATGCCGACTATAAGCCTTTATTCGAAGGCACTGGTAATTCCTCTGGTGAGAAAACTCTTGAGGACAAATTCTTCGAACATGAGGTTGGTGTGAACCTTTTCAGCTCGAACTTATTTCAAACTAGGAGTGGCAAATTTATGATTGATTGAATTCATGAGAGGTTTCTGCAATAGGGCTTACCCTAATTTCCGGTGTATAAGCCCGCGCCGATTTCACGTAAAACCACCCCCGCTCGTGCAGTGTAACTTTGTACACCTTAGAAACCACCGCAAATTTGCCTATAGAGGTAAGTCGATGCCCTGATCACGAAAATGACTTTCATTTTCAGCGCTGGCGCCATCTGGCGCCAGTTGGCGCCACCTTGTCACGACCCTTGTTTTCGCCAAAATCGGTGTAAACTTCAGTATAGGGGTTATTTGGGACCCTGATTACGAATATGACATTCATTATAGGCGCTGGCGCTGTTTGACGCCTATTTTCTGCTCGTCTGCGCTCTCCAACCGAGACATGTGCACTAAACAACGTTAACGCCAAAAACGAATGTCATATTCGTAATCAGGGTCCCAAATAACCCCTATACTGAAGTTTACACCGATTTTGGCGAAAACAAGGGTCGTGACAAGGTGGCGCCAACTGGCGCCAGATGCCGCCACCGCTAAAAACGAATGTCGTTTTCGTGATCAGCATATCGAATTACCCCTATGGGCATGTTACGGTTGACTCTAGATGTACTCAAGTACACTGCACCAGTGGAGGTGTTTTTACATGATACTAGCGGGGGCTTATACACCGGAAAATAGGGTACTTATCAGTATCTTATGCTGTCGTGGGCGAATTGACCGTGGGCTCCATCGCGCGGCGAGAAGGCAGAGACGCAGATGGTCAGCGGACGAGTCGCAGCGCGTGCTGTGTGATGTGGGACGTACTATAGTACATTCTATTTAACTTGACGCGAAATCACTGCAGTACGCGCTGCGACTCGTCCGCTGACCCGTCTGCGTCTCTGCCTTTTCGCCGCGCGGCGCCTCCTGTCGGCTACCTATTGCGTGTTTTCTGGGCATTTGTTTTTATTCTTACTTGTAAAAAATACTAGCTCTACGATTAGCTGCCCGACGGTGTAGAAGTAAGGTGAGCATTTGGAGAGGCAAACTTGAAGGGGAGCATTTCAGTGGAAGAGATTTGAGCGCTCTAGAATAGTTTTTGGAAATTCAACTTCGACTCTGTTTACCCGCAACTGCCTCACATTCCAGGATACTGTATACTTTTCCGATTCTACCTCCGTTGTTAAATTTGACTGAAAGTTTGCTCCGGTGGTCTTCTGATTCTTGGAACACGATTATAACATCATTATAACCTATTGCGTACCGCCATGGCAGACTTTGTGAATCGAGCGATTCGCTCTATTCGCGAAATCTGACATCAGCATTACACACTGGATTAAATGCGACATACTGGCATTATCATGTACATCTGGCACAATCGCTTATAGCTCAAGTTATAGGCAATCTCGTGGCGAACAAGTGTTTCTCAAGTCAGATTATCTCCTTTGAAAGTTCTCAGGAAACTGGATAATCGGGGCGTCTTGGGGCTGGGACACCAGGCATTTTCCCTTTACCCTCCCTGTTAATTATTTTGAGTGAAAAAATTTTGTTCTACCGACTGTTTCGTACGTGTGCAGTAGTGGGCAGCGGGGGTGCAAAGCAAAATTCGGAACGAAAAGGTTGTCTAAAGCGGCTTCTAGAAATGAGTTGTAGAAATATGTGTCGCGCCGGAGATGTGGACCTCTGATTTTTGTGGTGGCAGTTGCCACCGGCAGGACCGATAAGGTTGACAGATGTTTATTAATGTTCTACGGATCAAAATACCCGTGAATAATTTGCTAGCCAAGTTTAACAACGAAGACAAACTCCGAAAAAAATCCAGTCACTATCGAAAAAGTGGGACAGTAAAGGGTGAACAGTGCTTTCCCATCTTCGTGTG